TAATAAAAAGTTAAAAGGCCTAATAGCCACACAACTAACCGGCCTCCCAAAGGATATTACGCTGCTCATTGTCAGAATTGAACCTTTTAGCGAAGTTGTGTGATTCAACCAGACATCGAGCTAATGTCAATCTTTGTTCAGGGAGCAGGTAGGCGAACATACCACGTTCGTCCAGCGTCACAGGTCCCTCAGATGAAAGTGATTCATTTAGTAGGAGAGGGGAGGGCGGAGATGAGATTGTAGAGGGATTGATGTCTATAAAGTAATGAAAAGAAAGAAGAGGTAAATATGTAGGAAGCTTTTTAAGTCGCTTGATCATCTAAAGAAAGGGAGAAATGTTTTGGCAAAACAAGCTGCTCAGGCAGCGTAACTGAGTCTTTAAAGACAATTAACTCGGAAATGGCAATATGCCCCACTTGTGGATGCAAAAACTTCCACGGAGCTGATCGGAAGAATATTAAGAAATAAGTGACATCGATTTTAAAAATCGGTAAAAATGAAATTAAGTATGTAAAGGAGTCGCTAAATTGCATTGTCAGGCTCTAAAATGAAATACATGAGTAAGCTTTTTCCGAGTCAATAGTCAGTTTATAAGAATATTTTAAGTCTAGGTATCTTAAATTTAAGTAGAGAATAGTAAATCGGATCATAGAATTCCCGTCCTGATATTTTAATTGAGTAAGGAGGCTTATTTATGCAAAGTTATGTACCCTTCTATGATTTAATATGAGCAACCCCAAAACTAGGTCTTCACGGGACCTATTAGGTCGAGAAACGCCCGAATGTTTTGCTAAAGTATGATATCCGAATCGATGGTAGATACAGAAAACAAACCAGATAAACTTCTATTATTAGTAGCAGAATTGGAATAGAGTCTAACTTGTTAATAGAATATATTTGTCCTATGGACGCTGTGTATTCATGTGCATATATATATATATACAAATTCTCACCTCCGTCATCTGACTTATCTGTTCGACTAGTTAACGAATGCTGCTGTGTTGGAAATGATTTCGATGTTACTAGTCCTGGCGAATGTTGCTGAGAGGATATCTGAGGCTGAGCATGAGTTTGGCTAGAGGGGTAGGGACGAGATCGTGGCTGATAATTAGGTGGCATAGGAAAAGTGGCACCAACTGAAGAGAATGCATAGCTGGGGCAGAGGTTAAGAGCCTGCTGACGAGACTCCGTAAGCAAGCGGTGGTCTTCACTCCGACTGCGTCCGGTATAGAACAGGATGGAATCAACTGCCTGAATCAGCTCGAATTGGACAACGCATTTGATCAAAAGATCAGCGAATAACCTGGCGTTAGCAAGCCCATTTTGGCCCATGGAGTGATCCTGAAAGGCGAAATAAGTGAATAAAGGAAATTACCAGAAAAGTAATATTAATCCATAACTTTAATTCATAACTGTTTATTAAAACTGCGATTTTTTAAATAAATTAAGGCATCGATGGGGCGGTTCAAAATAAACTTGACTATCATAGCACAAATAAGTAGTCATAGTAGTGCATTATAGTGAAGTTATCTGATTTATAGGTTATACCTGAATATAAGCAAGATTTATTAACCATAAAAAGATACGAATACTGTCTTCGAACAAAACATAGCTACTTCAAAGTAATAGCATAGGTTAGTGGGGCTATAGTTGGAATAAAGTTACTTGACCTACAGGCTTCCAAGT